AAAAAAAAAACGTACGTTTATATAGGCCTACCTGCGATGTATATTGGTACCTGTAACATGATAATTAAGTGTTGCCTTTGGCACTTCTAACATGCGTGCGGCCTCAATTTTATTTAGGCTATTTATTTGTTTAATTTACACAGCGGCTGGTTAGTGAGATTATATCTGGCTTATATAACTTTCCATTCGCAAATGCTAAAATTTATCACATTCGAACAAAATCAGTATAACTTACTAGTAATCGGATGTGGTGGGTTTTTAGTACTTCCTTATACAGTAAAATTCTAAAAATTGTCCTCATATACGTTCATTTACTCAGCGCTTCCCCCTTAATTACTACAGTATTTGCCAAATCTACCCCCCCCCCCCCCCACACACACACACATACTTCATCAAATCCCTGGATCATTCAACAGTCTGTGTAGTCTCAGGTTATTTCTACCTCACTCGCAACTTTTGAGCTACTGTCTGACATTTTATTTAAACTTTAGGGTGGGAATAGATGAATTATCTGCTCTAAGGTCTAGGGTCGTAAGCCAAAGTATGCAAGGGAGAGATAAAATTGAGCGTGGATATCTCTGTCCTGGAAAATTTAGTAACACGTATTTTTTACCGCTAATACTGTTATTGTTTTTCAAAAAGGTACCCACAATATACTTGAAATTATTTAATCCATAGATATCTTGTCTTTTACTGAACGCGTCCAGTGTTATCTTCATCAATAATTTTGTCTTGGGAGACACAACAACAACAAGTCGGTGGTGCTGCCCTCTTTACGAAAGTATGCGGGGTATCTCCCAAGATGACGTCACGGTAGGGAAATTCCTTGAATACTTTGCGCGGCCATCTTTGTTTGAGAGCTTCTTGACCGCAACTGCTCGGAGTGTGGGGGCGAATAGCAAGCCAAGGGGAGCGTCAACTGTGCACGTACACACAAGGAAGCAACACGATCTACCTTAGAAGAGGATTATAAGTCCCGCCTGTGGCACCGAAAGGTGGATATTACTCAGTTCACCTTGGAAATCCGGGATCGGGGGCAGCATATTTTTTTACCGTGTAGAAAGACTAGGTGGGACCCCGTTAGCAGGGGGATTAACTACTTCAAGCTCAGTATAGAGCATGCTAACTTTCATCTTTATAAGTACAGAGTCGCTCATTATAATGCTTCTTCGTGTCTCGCTTGTATTTAAGGGCGCTTTATGTAGATTAGTAAAGTAATATTGTTTATCACCCGGTATATCTCTTTACCTGCTGTCTCTTAATTTAGTCACCTTCCGGCGTCCGCCTGCAGTGGAGATGCCCCCACATTTAGTAACAGTGTCCATTAAGTATCTTGTGTGTGTAATGCATCACCAAAGACCAACATTTTATGCTTTATGATATTCCGGCCTTTGCTAACATTCAGTGCATATGGCGTGCAATTTAATTGCCTTCTGAAGTGCATGTCCACCCTTTATTTCCAAGCTTGTAGAAATCTTACTGGCATTTTTCAAAATGTGTCATCAGTCAGCTCATCAGCTAGAATATCAGGGTGTAAAATCTTAGTTATCAACTTGCAGATCTTGCTGCCTTCAGTTTGATTTTTGTTTATTACTTGACATGATGTGATATATTGAGAAGTTTATAAGACATGTACATAACAGTTGCTAGTTTTAACTGTTAAGTAATGTACTTCTTGTAGTAACATTAAGTTAAGCTGGGGTAGTGCTAACACTTGCCAAATGCTAAAACTGACTTAAGTTGGCTAAACAAAAAATGCTTGATTTCACTCGTTTTTTCACTTGTAACTACTTGGAGAAACTTGTAACTACTTGGAGAAACAGTGATGAAATAGTAGTGATTTGGCTATTAAAAGAAAAAAAAATGCCAGTGCTATCCCTGTAAAGACCTTTTTTTTTGTTTTCTATCACTTTCTGATCTGTTATGGTTTTAATGTGTGGGTACAAACCGGAGCAAGCGACAGTGTAAAATGCCAAAACTAGTTTGATTTTACTGAAGTAAATACAGAAAGTAATTATGAATGATTTTCACTTTTTGTCATGACAAACCAGGAAAAGATGGCATCATGTAAAAATTAATACCTTCGGGGTTTTTTTAATTATGGTATTATTGAGAGACCATTAGTTCTGTACTAGTACTAGTGAAGAGCTCATACTAGTATATAGCATGGATAATATTCTTATTATCAATTGCTGTTAGAAATTATCAGGTATATTACCAATTTACTAGCTCTGTAAATAGTTAATATGACACATAATTGAATAATAATGGTGTTATTGTTGTGTGGGTATTTATGAAAATCATCCCTTAAAATTTCTTTTCTTTTTTTAGTGACCAATTCAAGACATTGTGATGTAGAAGACCTAGGATGGCGAACTAGGCCCATCAAATTGTAAGTCAACTTTGGTACATTATAAATAACTGCTATTTTGCAAGACAAAGCTGTAAAATATACTGATGAAATTAATAAAATATGAAAATAATTAAGTGAATGAGTAAAAAATAAATACTTGTACTATAGTGAATAAATAAACTGAGAAAATGGTATAATCAGTGATATGTCTGAAGTAGAACAAACTGTTTTAGGCCACATTCAGAACAGTGGACTAAGAAGTCCGAGGAACAAATATGTCCGACCATATGAAAACTTCCTCACGGAGAATCTATTCAGTGTCTATTAGCTGGTTAGACAGGAAGTTTTTTTGTGGGTCGCCATATTTGACCCGCAGACTAGTAAGTCCACTGTTCTGAATGTGGCCTTACTCAGCATGGTTGATCACATGTAAGTCTGTTTTCATGTTGTGACATGTTGAGGTACATGCTTGGGCATGTTGGACAGGTAAACAATGGTACAGGTAAACAGGCAACAGGTGCACACAGTAGCTCTGTATAGACTGGTTTGTTATCTAGTGAAAATTATTCCACAGGTAGATGAGCAACAATGCAGTCAGTTTTAGGTCTCTCAGCCATGAGAATAGTTTCTCCCCAATATAGGGTTTACAACAGAATTAAACACTTAGTTCGGACCAGCACAAAATTATGAGGACCAGTAGATTTTTTGTAGTGCAAGGCCGCTGGATTTTCAATATCTCCGAAGCTTTTCCTATGTCAGAATGAAGTGAGTCACAGAGTGTGATCTGTTTTCAGGTTGCTTCCCACTTTCTGTGTGCGCAGTGTGTAGACAATGCAGGTGCCTTATTGGAAAGATCCACCGCCATATCCAGGACACTTGAGAAACTATACACAGCCTGGTAAGTTACACTTGAGAAACTATACACAGCCTGGTAAGTTACACTTGAGAAACTATACACAGCCTGGTAAGTTACACTTGAGAAACTATACACAGCCTGGTAAGTTAACCCAAGTAGTTCTTTGACAAACAGAGTGGAAATTACTCCAGGAACTGTATTAGACTAAATCATGTGCTGATTTTTTTAAGAAAACAAATTTGATTTTATTTGGTTAAGTATATTATTAAACTAAGTTGTATGTCTAACCTAATTGGTCATTTACAAAGACAATCTTAGTGAAACCATAAACCTACTGTCACATTCAGTATTAGCTTGATCCTCTTTAATATCTAAAAATTTTTGATATTAACTGCATACCCCCATTTTTGCAGGTTACAGGCAAAGTTACTCTGGCTCTGAGGCCAGCACAGATATTTCTTTATCCTCCAACGAGAATCTCAGCACCTCGGCTCGTCAGGACCCCCAGGGGGAAGAAAACCAGGGGGGTTTGGCCCCCGGGCACTATGACCCCGGGGACACCCTGGCTGATGACAGTATCCTAGCGCGGCTAGGTATGCCCCCCTCTGTCGAGGTGAAATCTACACGTGCTGGAACGTTTTACATCACTGGGAGACCCCAGGGTGCGGCTAACACACCTGAGGACCTGCCCATAGACTGTCAACAAATTCAACCTTTACAAGGTCAAGGTCACTGGAATGCAATGGCAGCCAATCAGAGGCTGACAAACTTGATCCAATCAAAAGACAACGACAGCGGAGGCAAGGGGAGCCCCGCCCCCACACGTTTGAGCTCAAGGGAGCAGCTAGGGGGTTACGTCAACGACCCCAAGACTTTAGGGAGCTGCTTACCCCCTCCCCCAAGATATCCCGGCCCTGCTGGGGGACACAGGGCAACAACCCCCCAGAATCTGTACCCCCCTGCGCCTGAGAGCAGGCTCTCCCAGGAGATGCTGGACCGAGCAGGCTTGTCCAGGTCGCAGCAGGATATTACAACGCAGTACTCCGACATGAAGAGGAGGGTCGCGGAGGGCATAGAGGTCAGAGGTCAAGGTCAAGGTGCTTATCAACAACAAGGGTAAGTGTTTTGAAAAGTTTTGATAGTTATTGAGCATTTAAGAGCAGTGTTTATGTTTTGATTGCAGGGTTAATGTTTTGACAGCTTATAGAGTTATGCTGTGATTTTTTTTCCCTGCAGCTGAGTGTTAAAAGACAGGTGCCCTTGTAAGATGTAGAGCTTTGTCTCATACAATAAACTGATATTTCACACAATATATGACATTTGCTTAGATGGAAAATAGATGTGTATGCACTTTCCAGAAATAGAAGAGAAACCTCACAATTGAAATTCCAGTTCTACTTTGTTATACATATGTCATACCTATGTCATACTTAACATTATCACAGCTAACACATTGACTCTCTCAAAGACACTTTGTCTCACCCAACACACTGTCTCTCTCACCCATCACTGTCTCACCCAATGCTCTGGCTCTCTCAACTAACACAATGTGTTTCTGTATGTCTTAAGCTGTATATAGGCAGGAGCCTCACTATCCTGTTGTCTCACCTAACACACTCACTGTATCTCACCCAATGCTCTGGCTGTCTCACCTAACACAATGCGTTTTTATATGTCTGTAGCTGCAGACAGGAGCCTGACCATGCTGCTATAGCAGAGAGAGCTTCCCAGCTGGTGGAACTCCTTTCTAATGAGAACAGAAAGCTGAAGGAGGAGCTGGAGGGATACTACAAGAAAGTCTCCAAGTTACAGAAGGTAGGCAGAGCTGGAATGAGAGACTAAAAACTTTTAATTTTGTTCCTTGCATCTCTGTATAGTTGAGAGCAGGTTGAATTTATTATTTTTAGGTCAACATAAAGAGTAAGATGCTTTTGTCATCACATTAGGATTTTTACCTGGATGTAAATTAAAAATAGTGTGATTTTTATCTTTAGTCCATGAGTTTTATTGGAATTATTTTCACATATTTATGTAATGTAGTATGTAAAGCAATATCATTAAAACTTAATGCTGGCGAAATTAACATTTTGACATAGTCACATTCCTATAATGGTTATTGAATATTTCAACAATTTGATTTATAAACTGCAGTTTCTTTGGCTTCTAAAAAACTTTAAATTCACCAGAAAACCCCTTTTGTTTCTGATTTAGTTTGAGCTTGAAATCCAGAAGATCCAGGAGGACCATGAAGGCCTGGTGAAGTCTTCCCACAAGAGGGAGCAGCTGGAGAAAGCCATGAGGGTCAGGATGGAGGGAGAGGTGAAGAAATTACAGGAGGATGTCAAAACACTCAGAGGTAAGAAACAGATACAAAACAGCAGTGTGTTAGTTGTGACAGTGGGTGTGCTATTGATGAGTGTGTTAGTTGTGACAAAAGATGTGATGATGAGTGAATATGTTTGTTATGACAGTGATGAGAGTATTGTGAAAGAACTTTTATTTCATACAATTTTTTCTCAATTCAAATTGGACATTTTTTTATCTTGACAATTTTCTGCCTTTGAGCAGTGCCCAGGCTCCTGTCCCTTCCTGGTTAGAAGGCCACGAGGCCACTGCTTGTAATCTTTTCTTTCAAACCAAAGCCATAACTAAATAAAAGACCAGTTTTATATCACTAGAAGTGTTAATTTTATAGTGCATTAGTATGAGAATGTTCTTTGTGATTATAAGAGCGTGTTGATAGTTATATGAAGAATTATTCAAAACATGAAGACATTATTACAAGCTAGACAAACAAGAAATTGTTGTAGAATACAGTAGATTTCCTAATGATGTAAACTTAGAAATTTATTGAACATTTTAATAAAGAATATCATATTGTCCCCACAGGTCACTTACAGCTGGCCCAAGCACAACTGACGACACATGAGTCTTCACAGAGCGACGCACAGGTCAAACAGGAACTGGAGAGGAAGGAGGCTTCCATTAATAAGTTATTAGAACAGAGTGAGTCAGCCTCTCTCTCTCTCTCTCTCTCTCTCTCTCACACACACACACACACACACACGCACACACAGACACGCAGACACATGCACACACACACACACACGTGGATACTGTCTACTGTTTGTAGTACATTGGAATATGTTAGTTGATGGAATATGTTAGTTGATGAGTAATTGATGAAGTAATAACAAGATTGATAGACTATGCATTTCCATGAATAACATTGCAAAAACTCTTCTTAAGACAAAGAAATGACTGCAGCAAAAGAGCGACTAGACATAGAGCTTGCAGCACAGAGGTCGACATTACAAGAACAGAGAAAACATATAGACATATTAGACAATGCCCTCACCAATGCACAGGCCAATGTAGTCAGACTGGAGGAGGAAGTGAGTAGAGTTTATTTTATTTTATTTTATTTATTTATTTATTTATTTTTTTTGCTGAAACTGAGGTGTTTAACATGGATAAATTTTGTGGATTTTTATGAAGAAGTGTTGAGCTGACAAAACAGTTCGGTTTGGTTTTGATTAAAACACTGATTACCAATATCTTACAAGTAAACCTAAAAGTATGAATGAGATGTAATAAGCAGTGACTTGTGATAAATTAATAGTATTACATTATATTATAAACTTAAATCATCAGAAGAGCAGGAGGTTCACATTGCTTTCTTTCTTTTATTTTTATTATTTTATTTCATTTATTATTATTATTATTTATTCATTTATTATTATTATTATTATTATTTTTTGCAATTTGATTAAGTGGGGATTTAAAAAATTGGCTGCCTTTCAATTTTTCTGTTGCCTTTGGTTGCAGTTGAAGAAAAAAGATCTTTACGTGGAAAGAGTCGAGCAGTTGCAGAAGGCCCTAACTTCATTACAAACAGCTAATCAGAAAAGAGAACAGATGGAAAAGAGTCTGAGAGAAAAACTGGAAAACGAAATCAAGATGCTGAAATCTCAAAAGGTAGATTATGTCTCTATTTTGTAACCTGTATTTGGTTATAATAAATTTAAAGGATTATTTATTCCTATATTTTCCCCTTGTTAGTATTTGATGTCTCCATGACATTATGTATCTGAAAGTGAATCTGACATAATTGTTTGAAGATAATGTATTAGATAATTTGCTGAATAATGCTCCGGCTACATTTTTCTTTAAACTTAACTAATAATTTATGTTGACCAAATAATTCAATTAATTTCTCTTGTATTGTGATATACACTAAATATTGTTCTTTTGTTTCAGAGAGAGTCAGGATCTTCAGTTGAATCTTTTCATGAAGACACAATAGCAACACTTACTACAGATCTGAGAGCAAAGGAAGAGAAAATATTAGATTTAGAATCTCAACTCTCAAATGTGAGTAAATTTTTTAAACACATGTCAAAACTTGGAAGTTTACAAATGCATAACACTTTGAGCTTCATTGTTTACAGTACAACAATTTTGTTCAAAGCTCTGATTAAAATCACGAAAGTAGCAGAGATATTAACACAGCTAATGTTTGTTCATTGGAATGGTGATGTTTTCAGAAAATAGTTTTATTACCTGTGCGATGCGCGAAGACAAAAGCAGTCATTTTTCATCAATCAGCATGTAGCCTTGAAAATTATATGAGCTTCCAATATTTCTCAAGTACATCCTAGTGTATCATCTGGATTGAGGCTATTCACCTGGATAGCCTCATTCCCTTCTGAAGGTGTTCTTATTAGATAAACATAATGGGCAAAATATTGGAGGTAAATAATATATTGACAATACCAGCTGTTGATTTAAGAAAAAATTCCTACCTTAAAAAGCATTTGGTGTGACCACAGCTGTAGAATTCACTCAGCCTGTATTCTGTATTTTAGTGGGAACAGAAGTACTTGGAAGAGATAGCCATGAGAGAGATTGCCTTGGATGAGGCAGCTACCCCAAAGTAAGTGGAATTATTCATATTAATTTTTTTCAAAAACAGCTAGTTTTGTTTGTTTCCCTCTATTTTCCCTCTGTTCTCTTACCACATCTTCTCAGGATTATTTATTTTTGTTTTGTTTTGTTTCTATATTGAAAAAATGCCCTCTCTCTTTTATCTCCCCAATACTTTCTCCCTTAAATGACTTATCAAATATTCCAGAGTCCCAGAATGGAAAGTGACAGCCTTAGAAGGAAGGTATACAAACATACTGTTATAACTGTTATCTGTGGATTGGGGTCATCTAAATACTTTATCAATTAAAAAAAAACTTTACCTCAACATCGACATAATCCTCTTGGTTTGAAGGATGATTGCAGAAAGCCGTCTTAAAAAACTTATCCTCCATGCATGTTCTATGTCAAGTGTAATTGTCATGGCTCGTTCTCATATGTCATGGGTGTCTGTGTCATGGTTGGTTCTCACATGTCATGGGTGTCTGTGTCATGGTTGGTTCTCACATGTCATGGCTAGGTTTTACACCACTTGTAGTTGTGATTTCTCATGGGTAATCACCATGTGTCATTTGGTTATTGCCATATTTCACAGCTGGTTTTCTTGAATCGTGACTGGTTTTCATGGTTGTTTGTAATGCGTCATGACTGGAAAATCATAATGGGAATATGTCATGTCTCTGGTTGTATTGAGTGGTTGTTATTTGTCATGGGAAAATGTCATGAAATTTGTCATGGGAAAATGTTGTGACACTTCATGGAAAGCTCATTTGTCATGGGAAACTCATGGGTTATTAGCAAGCATTCTTAATACTTTCCTGCTAATGGCTACAACCACATCTTCCCCTTCATCTATTACATCATCATACATGGGTCACCTCTAGGTACCTGGGTCACCAACTTGGTTCAGATAATCTTTACCTCTGTGGGAACTGCACTCAATGTGTAACTGCCACTAATATTGCTTTCTATGTATGTTGTTTGTTTGTTTGTTATAGGGATGCTCGTATCGCTGCGCTGGAAACAAACACGTCTGAGAATGAAAAGCTGTTAGCAGAGGCTCAGGTGGAAAGGTTGAAAAGTATGGAAGAGCTTTACAAGACTAACAGGCGCTGTGCCGAACTGGAGGCTAGGTATGCTGGCTTGGTGTGTGCTGTGCTGTGGGAGTGCATTAGTTGTGATTAAGAACACAATCAGCACAACCGGTACCGGAGAATGGCTCAGTTTGTTGCGAGTGGAATTATTATATAACATCTGTCGCAGCAGTGCTTTACTCATGTTTTGTATATTGAGAAAATCTTTCAATTGCCTTAGAGGCATTCAGATTTTTCTGGAAGGGATGTAATAACCTCTTTATGTTAGATGTAATTCAGTTATATTCCAGGGCAAAGCTTGAATAGATATATGACATAACCTGCTGCCTGTCATTTTGTATTTTGTTATACATATTTCAAACCTACATCAATGCTGTTGTTATTGTTCATGATAACAATTCTACCATAACCTAGCAGAACCTGTTATCTTAATTGTCTTTCTGTTTTCCCAGAGTCAAGACTCTGCAAGCACAAGTGGCTGAGAAAGATGCAATGGTTCGTGTGTTACAAAAGTCTGCCAGTCGCAGCAGCAGTTACGCCAGTCTATTTTCCTCTCCCCGCCATAGTCCCCGCCCCTCTGTCACCTCGCCCACCAATAGCACGACTAGCAGCCGACAGAATAGCCAATTGGACACCAGTATGCCATATTTGTCCCCCAAACATGCCAAGTCAGGTGAGTAACATGTTGGTATTGGCATTTAGCCATGGTGTAGATACAGGAGTGGGTTTCTCACTTATTTATTTATTTATTTATTTATTTATTTGTATGGATATTTTGATCCTTTTTCAGGCGTGGGATTTTTTTCTCGTATTGGAAGATTTCAATTTTTATAAAAACCATGAGGTTATCTGGGAAACTCAATTTTAAACTATTTTGAAAGGCATTTTTTTACAACATGAATTGGTTGATATAAAAAAAAACTTTTAAAAACAATTATCAGCAGAAATAAAGAAAGGAAAAAATATGATAAGCTAGTCCAGTGTGGGTAATTGACAAAGATTAATAAAACGTTGACTCTCTGTTTCAGCCAGCACAGATATTGCCAGTAGCACCAATGAAAAAGAATCTACAGGTTTAACAAGACCTTCATCAACACAGGTCAGTACCATGTGGACAGTACAGAAAAAAATGCTTTTTATATATATTGATTTTTTAAGAATCATCATTTTTGTTAAGCATTACTGAAGTGGTGACATTGATTATGGTGAAATTAAGTTAAAACACTCTTGATAAATATTTATACAAAGGGGCACTCAGTGCTTTCCATAGACTTTTTTTCCCATTGATGTGTTTTTGATGTTGAGTGCATTTTGGGATCAAAAGAAATAATAATAATAATAATAATAATAATAATAATAATAATGTTTGTTTCCAGGCATTAGTCCCAGTGTCTCCTGAAGCTCCACAGGACCATGTGTCTCAACACTGTTGGCAGGTCTAACTGACAGGATGTAGCCAGTAGATTTCAACTGTATAGACTAGCCAGCAGTTTATCTGTCTTGACTAGCCAGAAGAGTTCAACTGTGTAGACTAGTCAACAGGCTCAGCTGGATGAAACACATTAAATGTGACACTGGTCCATACTAAACACCACTGCAGGGTTGACTTTTGATGTGGAATACTTGTCTTAATTTGACTTTTCATTGAAGGATTTTGTTTTACAATTGTCTGGTACAAATCCAATTCAGTTTTGTATCAATATCCATCTATCAGTAAGGGTTTCAGTCAGTTGCTCTGAGATTCAGAACAGTTTTTATTCAGCAAAGGAATTTTTTCATATCAAACTTCAACCCTTGGTGGCAATATGGAGCAGGTTTATCTCATTGGTGCTTACTTGGTTATTTCCTATGCAATATTTATAATGGGCATGTGCAAGAGGAAACTGGAAAGTGGCTTTTCTTGAATGCAGCGACATCTATGTATTTTTGAAAGCAGAGCTTGCAAATTTTTATGATTATTCTGTAGTTTTTCATTTTTCATGATCCTTTTTGAAAATGTGCTGGTTCTTCTAGCTGGGTAACTATTAATGAAGGAAATGAATTTGTGTAATTTCTGGTAGTGTAATAACTGGCAAAGCTAGAGATTATCAAAAATAAAGTCCCTTTTCAGTTCATATCTGGCAGGATTAAAGTGGATTAAGAAAAAGAACTACACTTTTAAGCATAGTTACTCAAAGAAAATCATTTCATTAGAGCACTTGACTGTGACCGGCAGTGGAGAACATGAACACTTATATTTTTCCACTTTGATGAACTTGCCATGGCATACAAGTGTATTCTTACATAGTCTATAATGAACATTGGACTTGAATGGTAACCAGAACTCTGGAGTGTTCATGTCTGAGCTGCCTTGTTGCTACTGGAAACTAAGTCCAAGCCTCAGTTTCACAAAATGACTAAGGTCAGTTCCCTGGTTTAGTTGAGTACGATTTTCACGAGAGTGCTCTTGATAGGTAAAATGTAACCATGTAACCTTGGTAATTAAGTTCTTAGCCAAGGAACCTGACTTTTAAGTTTTTTTTATGAAACTGGGGCCAAGTCATCTGCATAACTCACAGCATAATCTGAATATTGTGTTTCTGATCCAGTCCTCACTGCTAATGTTTTGAGTTTCTCAAATAGTGAAAGTAGATGTTTGCTAAGACGGAATACCAATAGGCCGTGGCGAGACATACGTGTCTGATTATGTGGTGTCATGTATATTTATACAAGGGGGGGGGGGGGGGGGGTAGAAGGAAAAGATCAGGAAATAGAGGAAGTCAATTGTTTTTTTTTTTTTTTTGTAATTGTATTATGGTTAGTGTAGCTAAACACCAATCATGTGCCAAGATTCTCTCACTAGTGAAAGTTTTGCTGTAATTTTCACTGAGCTGATGGAGCTGTGAGTAAAGTGCTGTAGTCTCGGGTGGGTGCGCGATGTCCCTTCCTTGGTGCCAGGGAAATTGTTTTTACCAATGTTGTGACCTTGACCTATTTATGCATTAACTTGACCTTGATAAAGTGCGACCTTGACCTTAAAGAGAAACTGACATGACTGTGGTGGGTCACTAAACTGCTGTGCATGGACAACATTAGGGCTTTGGAGTGTACATTGGGCTCATTCTGGCATTGTTTCAATTTTAGCTAAGGTGAGCTTTAGAAATGAAAAACATGGTACAGCATTTTCTCTTGATATTCTGCAGTTTGTTGAAGCAGAAATTTTGCCAGCATGGACCCTTTCATCTCCCAGGTGGAGCGAGAAGTACACTCAGACTGTTGTAAAAGTGAGTGATACCGGAGAAGTCTGCTCTCAAGTGTGCTAACATGGTGGGGATATAGAAAACAGAATGCTCATCAAGGTGCTAGTAGAGTAGTACAATTTTTTCCCACCAGATGTCAGCAGGAGCTGATCAGTTATTTGGGTAAATTAGAACACCAGATGGAGAAAAATCATAACGTAAATGACTGTGTGGTGACCTTTTCATGACTTATGAGGGGTTTGGTAATAGAATAAGATCTTGCAGTGCCTTATATGTATTACAAAATGCCAAACAATAGCTATGCAAGAACTAGAAGGTTCAAATGACTGGAAAAGGTTTCTTCCCCTTCTCAAAGAAGGTGTACTCATTTGTTTATATGCCTTATGCATATACATATGTATTTAGACTTGAAATTGTTTTACTGATGGTAAGGTTGTGGAATGACTTGAGTAAGGGGAAGGGAAATTAAGGTGCTCTTTTGAACAATAGCTTTTTTAGTGCTTTGAAAAAAAGCCTGGATTTTAAGAAATAATAAAACACTGCAAAAAAGATGAATCTGGTTTGTTTTTTCTTAAGCCATACAATTATGTCATCAGTTGGACTGCAACTGTGTGATACTCTTAACTGTTTAAATGGCCTTGTGTAAACTGCAAAAACTGCTCATTTCAAAACAGTCTTGATATGGAAGACGGCTTTATTTATTCCTGAGATGACAATGACTTAAGTGACATGTCAAATTGATAAAACAATAATACATTAAAATAACTTTGTTTTGACTGCTGACAAAAATAATCATTAAACATCTTTCCATAAACAGCTGGCGAATAGGAAGTAACAATTATGTAAATGATATGCCACAGATATGACACCAAGTACATAGAAATAATGAAACTAATTTGCTACTTTTGCCACAATCTTACTGGTAGCTAAATGCAAGCATCTCACAACACTGGAACTTTCACAGTAAATATTGTATCATCAGCGCATCTTTTACCCACAACAGAAGAGGTGTGCTGACAATACTCAGCCTTGTTTCACAAAGCTCTGGCTGGCAGATTTAGCAAGTGATCATAGCTATGTGATACTGTTCCCCGATCAGTTTCCAGTAATTTTCTATTTAACTAAGGGCGGACATATGTGACAAATATCATACCATGTAAGAGGCTATTCACTACAGATAGGATAATAAAATAAAACTTAATTTATTCTTTACTTAGAGACTAAACAACATCAGTTTAATGACATTTTGATCTATCACCTATGGACCTTGGTCATGTGAATGGCAAATTTTGACAAATGTTAATAATTGATGTGATATGATTTAAAAAAGCAATGTTTGAAGTGGCCTGGTTCATGATATGTTTCAATGGTACATAACTGAGGCGAGGAAGACGTAACCGTGCTAACAGTTACCATAGCAACTGTAGGATGCAATAAATTCGATCTCAGAGGAGCCCTAAACTGACAAAAATTATAAATATTCATATAATGATGGAAATTGTTAGAAAAAATTTGCATTACAATTTGAAATGTATCGACATAATAAATGCATAATTATATTACTTGACATTAAGTTATGGAATAAAACGAGCATAAATTCAAGTTTTGTACGTAGTGGCAGAAAAATTGAAATGCATGTATGAAAGAATAATCTTTCAACAAAAAATATCTGAAGAGGATATGGAGTCTCCATTTTGCAAAAATTTGATTTTAAAAAATCTAATAACACATTAAATCCCCATGCAGCCCTGGATATGTAACATTTTTAGTGAGACAATG